TTTCTTTGAGGAAAGTCGTGGGGATAGCGGTTGCCGAAGCAATAAACTATTCTGGTACGAAAATCCTGGAGCATGAAGGTGGGAACGTCGTGCGTTGTGGATGCCCAGCGAGGCAGCCGTATCTGGTCCCCAGAAAGACGGGGAAGGTCATATCCGCCTTTCTAAAAATTGTTTTTGGTCGTTCAGTTGACGTCTTTTTCGTTTCACTTGCGCTACACACTCCCGCACTAGTTAAAAAGTGGTTGGAAGTTGGGAGCCAAAGCGAAGGGTAAAGTTGAGAGGAGGAAGGGGGGGGGGGTCGCACAGAAGGAGGAACTCTGAGAGGGGCCGTATTTTGAACAACTCACCCCAATAGCAAAACGCGCCCTGGTAAGCAATAACCCCACAAAAAAGCAAAAAAATCCCCGAAAATCCCAAAAATTGGTGAAAAAATCTCACGTCTCTCCTGTCCATCCATTCGCACATTCACATCTGAACGATCCACCTTCATCATAGCACGTTCCATTATTCATGCACGGAGACGATGCACACTAAATTAACATAAGATCGACAAAGAGAAATTTTCCGATAAACCAATAACAGCCACCAATAATCCACAAACCTGATCAACTCTTATTTCACAAAAATCGCCACTATAACCTGGTTTGCATACGCAGGTGAACGAGTTGATGCCATCTTCGCATGACTGGAATTTTTCGTGCATTACTTGGTTAATAAAAATTCTACAATATTGAGGAGACTCAAAATCTGACAAGCTTCACAACGGGTTCCATGATAAGCAGATGGGCGGGGAAGACAAGGAAACCCATAAACACCCTACCCCCCTCACCGCTACGCCTCTTGTTCTGGTACAGAGAAGAAGAACTGTGCGCCAACGAAGAAGTAGCGATGCTTAATGATCCCCGCCTATCTGCTTATCGCAGAATGTGCTGATTGCCCAAATTCCTTGCGAGAAAATCACCTCAGTTCCTTTCTTATCGCAACGTCCTTGGACACATTCATCCTTATTGTGTTCACAGTGGGTTCCATCAAAGCCTAACGGACAGGCGCAGTGATATGAAGGTCCAAGATTCGTGCAGGTGGCTGAAATGCTTTCTCACTCAGAACATTCCAAACTGAGGTCAGTTTGAGGAATAGAATAGAACTGAAGTACACTCACCGTTGTTCCTACAAGGAGATGTAGCACAGTGGTCGACCAGATGTTGACAATGCACCCCTCGGTAGCCAGCTGGACATGAACAGGAGAATCCAGCGACCTGAATGATGAGGCAATACAAGAAGTGCGATCGTGTTTGCGGATGCTGGGGCGTGTGAAGGGGCTGGGATTGGCGTGGCGACAACTAGATCTCACCAGTTGCTGGAGCGAGCAAGCGGCATCAACTGATGGGAAACTAACTGGCGCCGTGCCAAACCCAGCCCTCTGACACGCCAGAGCACATCAGCCACAACTTTTTATTACCTCATCAGTGCATGTTCCTCCATTCTGACATGGTTGTGAAGCGCAATCATCGATGTTCACATCGCAATTCTCTCCACTCCAGCCTTCATCACAAACACAACGACGAGCGAAAAGCGTGTCCACACACAATCCATGAACACAAGGTGCCGAAGCGCAAAGATCCTCTGCAAATAGATTTTCTGAGATATTGAAAACTCGTATGAAAAAAGTCTATTTTTCTTCACAACAAGTTCCTAACCCATAGTCTTATTCAGTGGAGGCCTTCCCATCAGCTCTTAACGGATTTCAGCTCTCAGCTCTTCAGCACTCAACGGCCCGCGACTACTTGCCAACTGTTGTAAAGAGTACTGTCCATTCTTGCGAAGCAATGAACATGACAAAGTGCAAAGACCCTCTCCCCCACCCTTGACCGAACTGCGCCGAAAAGGCATCAGCGCTCAAGAGTTTTCAGTGGGACGAGCCACTCTTCTGATATCCGTCCAAGACCGCAGGGGCATTCAATTTCATGAATACCGTTACTGTTGGCTAGCGTTTATTCCAGGGCGATTATTCCTCCTGACAAATTCTCACAAAATTTGGCGTTAAGTGATCAACCAAGAGGTCGCAGAGTTTCCGCTTAGCTGAAGGAAATCGGTTGTGGTCAAGCTCCACATAGAGCTAGCTGCGAGGGCGAGTCACCCTCCACCTTCCATACCCGCGGTTTTCCACAAAAGAATCGCGGACTGGTGCAAGGGGGCGGGGTGTGTCCTGCAGTCGATGCCAACCTTTAGCGAAGTTCCTCGAAGGAGCGCCTTAGAATGGATCGAATTCTTATGTAAGCTGAGCACTGGGAGAAAGGGACTTTGTGACTTGGACAGGAAGGTGGACGAAACCTGCTGAAAAAGCCTAAGTCTGAAGCTTCACCCCAAGCTACGGCAAACGACTCCTCAGTCACTACTCGATTTTCGTTCCTTCAACAGTGCTCAAAGTCCCGCTTGCCGTTAACCCATCCAGCTAGTCGAACGAGCATCAGCAAGTCCCATTCTGCCTTTACAGACAAAACCTTTCTTAGTTGCCGCGGAAATTGGAGAAAGCGGAACCTACATACGACCAGCGTAATTCCCTCTATGAATAGACCACCGCAGCTGTTCACTTTGCGAATCAAAAATCGGAAACGCAGCCCAATTAGCAGTCTGTCGACGCAGTTTCGCGCACCACCTCTCTTTTGCAAAACGTGCTGCCGCAATAGCCCACACAGCTGTTTTTCTGCGCGCAAACGCCGTAAAGAAGCGATAAAAGTCAGATAAAAACCTAAAGCAAACTGCTAACAGCTGGCATTAAAAACTCGGAACTAAAGCGTTAGTTCCAGCTTCTCTCTTGCTGTAACCTCGATATCGTTGTTTTAATTCGTTAGTATTGCTGTGCCTCTCGAGGTTTTTAGGTGGAATCTTTATTTAACGGCCTAACGTTTCGACAGGGTCGTCTTCTTCAGAGACCAAAACTCCATCAATCCGCCGTCACATTCGAATGTTAGTCGGTAGCAAAAGTTAGGGGTTCTGGCCTCTGAAGAAGACGACCATGTCGAAACGTTAGGCCGTTAAATGAAGATTCCACCTAAAAACCTCGAGAGGCACAGCAATCCTAACCAATTAAAAAAGTTAGACCTTTTGCAAAACCGTGTGGAATACGATACTACAACGAGGAAAGTTCTTTCAGAACGATTCGCGCACTCGGCTTCCACTTATGGTCGTAAAGCTGCTGACTTTGCACTGGTGTACGATTTACCCACCGGCGCGATTCTCCTTCTTACCAAGTAATAAAGAGCCGCGCTTAGGGAGGTCACATGATTCTCTGTTTCGCTCATACAACCAGCGTGAATCGAGGGTTCAGAAACTGGAAAGCGGGGCTGAACAGAATTTCCAGGCTTTGTTACGTACTAAGTACATTTAGATATCCGAAGGTTCCAGGTTCAATCGTGCCGCTGTTTTGTTGAATAAACAAAGAGCGAGATGAATCGAAAAAGTGAATTGTAGCTTAGATGAGTAAATCCCCCTTCACTATGACCGCATCCTAGTGCCCGAGGGCCTTGGACGCTTGTAACGCTCATTGATTTTCAATAATCTGGGTAAATTGCTGTTGTTGTTGCCAATTTCGGCAAATGACAAAACATTGTAGCGTCTGCCGTTGGAGAGTACTCTCAACTGAATAGAACAGTTGTAATCGCATGGCTTTATGACGGGCGAATGGGGCGATTGAACTCAGGTCTCAGTATTGTTTGTGTCCCAGCACTGATCTACAATACAGTTACTCGGGGTCTGGCACTATGACGAGCAACGGTGGCCTTCTTGTAGTTGTGTGGTAGCATCCATTTGTCGATCTGAATGCCGAGGAACAGGCAATATGCACCGAGCCAGTGAACGGGAATTTGTTCTCTGTATAGAGCCGCTTGAAAGCCACAGTGTGGGAATCCTTCGCTATGATGATCATCCACTTGCGCCCACGTAACTCTTCATGGTAGAACTCGGGCGGCTTCTCATCTGCATTCATACAAAATTGACGATTGTGAGTTTCGGCTCGAGGTCCGAGACCACCCATATTTCATCTAGGGCCGGGGTGCGTTTTCACAGTTGTGAGTGACATCTCATGCTGAGAACATTACTGCTGGAGGTATAGAATCGGTACTGCGTTCGTGCTTCTATAAGAAAATTAGGGTACCCATGCGCCACCCTCTTGACCATCCTCAGTTTATCGGACATAACTCGGGCAGCAGTTGCAGCTGGGATGTCAGACTCGCGGGGAAGCTCGACAAGGGTCCAGGCTCTGTGATCAGATATTCAGTGCCTGACTTCATCCACCCGTTTTCTTGTGCAGGATGAATATTATGGGACCACCCACGACAACAAATTTTTTCCTTTCTTCCTTGTACGGGCTCCTGAACCAAATCTTCCACCGTGTATTTCGAGAACACCCTTACACACAACTATGGTCCGGCGCAGGTCAAATTTGAGCAGCGCACTTTCCTCTTATGACGTCTGATTTGAAAAACCGGCGCCGATTTTCACCACTCGGGCTTCTTTTCAATTTCTCGAGAACTTCTTCTGGGCTAGGTTCGCCAAATTTCACATATACACAGCTTGAAGGTACACTTTCCAAATGTATGGTAGCCCGCTGCTCTATCCCCTTATGGCTTTTCTGCCATTCTGTATATGGTACGCAGCGTTTGAATGGGACGAACTACTAGCATGACGAGCTGCAACCGCGCTGCTTGAATGAAGGAAATATTCATTTCTTCCTCTGCCTGCAGAGCTAAGGACATTCTTTCAGCATTCCAGAGAACTTCTTTCAAACATCCCAAGGAAAGTTCCTGATGGTCTTCATAAATCTATCACTTTTCGTTCTGCAGAAATTTTCACTAAGCTCTGCAGCTCGATCCACATCTGCAGCTGTTTTTTCCGGACCCAAAAACACCGTCTACAAATGACAGCTATGGATTGATGCATTGGCCAAACAAAAACGGTCGTGAATGAAGTAAGATATGCAAGCGCAGACGACTGCGCCGAGCTGTTTCATATACATGAGGTTCGCAGGGGTCCTTCTTTGTTCGACTAGTCTGGTACGCTGTCTCTGAAATTGTCCTTCTCCCCGCTTCATATTCAGAAACAGGCGCTGCGACGCTCATAAGTAGCAGTTCTGACGCCTCCCCAGTTGTCCCGCCCAGCGAGATTCGAAGGCTATTCTCTGTCATAAGTTCAGTTTTCACAAAGCCTTTTCATTTTTTTTCCACTGTTGAATGGTACTAGCTTTAAATGACGCAAAGAAACGAGTAGTGAGCCAGAGGCGACAGGACATCACTTTGCTGGCATAAAACGAACAGGTCTCTGAGAATTCGTGCAGTGACACTGCCAGGGCTCCCTACTTAGGATGTTTTCCGCGATATTTTTCGCTTTTTTTCCAGGAAAGTAATTTACAGGCTCGTAACTGATCCACAATTTGCAATCGCAAGGTCTTTTTTGAGAAAAGGAGCGGTTTTTACACGCCGTTCATTATTAGCACGAACAGCCAATTATCAGCCTGCCGACTCCCGAGTAGAACTGTCAACTTTGGTGAAACTCGTGGTACTACTGGTTTAACCCATTGGTATTTAACTCATTTCCACTTTTTCCCCAGTAATAGGTGTAGATGTATCCAGAAAAAGGTTTAGCACGTTCATGTGACACCCACGTGCACGACCGTAAACATGTCCACCCGCTTTCCGAAAACCCCTCCGATTAACGTAGTGGGGATTAGCTGGAGTGAGCAACACCAGCCTCTATCACGTGGCAGATTCCTGTGACAAAGACGCCAATAGACTTAGAATGGGTGGGGATTTTCGGATTTTTTGTGGAAGCGGAAGCATTCGCAATATTCCTTGAATTTGCGATGATGATGCGATAGCTTTTTCGGAAAGACGTCCGCTTCGCAGATCGATAAGTCCTGTTCTTAAAGGAATTCCCACATATCTAATGAAGTTACCCGAACACGACATCAGCCGTTCGAGTGTTTCGCGTTTGCAAATGAACTCGATTCTCAACTTGCAAAGCCTCCACATATACACCTCCTTTACTTACCATGCACTCCCTAAGCCAATTACATATCGGCTGCAGGCATTCAATATACGAGTTCAGTGGAAAAGAATGAAAAAAATCAAAACAATAAAAATCTCGCAATCCTTTTATATTGGGCAACGTTTGCCTCTTGAATCCCCTTTTTGGAAGTGGCATTCATAGTCGGTTCACCTTCCCGACAAATCCACACAGGTTCGCATTCAGTGGCGCACGTGGAAGTGCAGCGGGCAATCATTCTGGAATACGGGGAATTTTTTCGGAAGAAATATGCAGTCAACAGGATGAAGATCATAGAGAAGAAAGTGATATAACATGTTCATGAGATAAAAATTATACTTGAAAGAAGAAAAACAAAATCGAAAGATTTTGAAGTTATCAAATCGTTTAGCAATAGCGCATCGAGTTTTTAAGGTTAGATCCACTTTAGATAAGCCGCGCGGCTTCATAATGGAGGCCAAGCCTGATTTACTTAAGAGGTTAATAAGACGCCTGTGGCGTAATCGGGTGGCGCACTGGCTGCTATAAGCCGTTACGTGCTAGCTCAAGTCCTCCTTCTTTGGTCTCTACTTGTGCCGAGTGACTACCTTAGCATTCTGTTGAAAATTCAACATCGGGTCTAACGTACAACGTGAGCGCTTGTTTGGATTAGAAGAGAAACAAACACCACATCTCAACATAAAATCGAG